CAAATCCAAAGAAGAAGATTACAGTCTCAACACAAGAAAAAAAGTAACAATTTTAAAAAATCAAAATATGTGCTGTTATCTCTTTTAGGGCCATCTTCAAGGACCCAAGGATAGATATATATTTGTTAGTGTTGTGTGCTGTTGAGTCAATTCCAACTCATAGTGACCCTATATGACAGAGTAGAACTGCCCCGTGCAGGATTTCCTAGTCTGTACTCTTTATGGGAGCAGATTGCCAGGTCTTTTCTTCCACAGAGCCTCTGGGTGGGTTTGAACCGCTGACCTTTCAGTTAGCAGCTGACAGCTTAACTGGTGCACCACCAGGGCTCCTTAAATATGTATTAGGTCTTAAGAAACGTCTTGAGGTAAATTCCCAATATATTTTCACTCCTCCCTACTTGTCCTGATCCTGAAGAAGAATCATTCTTCTCTTTCCATTGTCAACAGGGTTAGCAATATTGACCTGGTTTACCCCTTGAAATGTGAGTGGAAGTTTGATGTGCCTCTTCCATGCAGAAGTGATAAGGGGAATCATGTGGTTTTGATAATATTTTCCCCGCTACCATAAAACCATCATGTTCCAGATAGCTACTACAGTCTTGGTCCCAATCTGCTGAGAATGTGAAGCAGTGTTGCAGCTAACTTAAAACGGATATAATGTTGAGTGTGGAATATTGCTGAAAGTAACTAAGATAGCAGGGTCATTTGGACTGCAGCATGGGTGAGGCTACACGGACTAATATAGCTTAAGAAAATGAATTAAATAGTATTAAGAACCTAGTATATTGTCTTTATTATGCTTTATTTATTTCATTATTTTACTCTGAAACCTTGATCTCTTTTTCTGGGGGTCAACATACTGTAATTCAGATTCCAGAATTATTGCCAGATAACAGAGAACGATGTTATCTCAAAATCTTACCTCCACATTCCTGAGCGAGATAATCTGACTGACTTAACCTGTGTTTGTTTAGTGTATATACCTGGTAAAACCCTGGTACAATTAGTCCACATGGTAAACTTGTAACCTTTTCTCAGCATGGAGTATACCTATGGGAAGCTCTAGTCTATATAAATAAGAGTGACTTTAATTGATTAGTGAAAATTACCTTGAATGTGGGAAATTAGAAGACTTGAGTTTCAGCCCTAGTTCTGGCATCTAGTAAATATGTCATTTTTTTGTTTTTTTGTACTTTAGATGAAGGTTTACAGAGCAAATTAGTTTCTCATTAAACAGTTAGTACACATACTGTTTTGTAACATTGCTTGCTAACCCCACAACATATCAACACTCTCCCCTTCTCAGCCTTGGGTTTCCCGTTAACAGCTTTCCTGTACCCTCCTGCTTTTTGTCCTTGCCCCTTGGCTGGTGTCCTCATTTAGTCTCCTTTTGTTTTATGGCCCTGTCTAATCTTTGGCTGAAGGGTGAACCTCAGGAGTGACTTCAGTACTGAGATAAAAGAGTGTCCAGGGGTTTCTTCAGTCTCTGTCAGACAGTAAGTCTGGTCTTTTGTTGTGAGTAAGAATTTTGTTGTACATTTTTCTTCCACCTTGTCTGGGACCCTCTATTGTGATCCCTGTCAGAGCGGTCGGTGGTGGCAACAGGGCACCACCTAGGTCTTCCGGGCTCACACTGGTGGAGGCTATAGTTCATGTGGTCCATTAGTCCTTTGGACTAATAGTTGGAATCAATTTGACAGCAACTAATTTTTTTAAATTTTTAGTTCCACTTTTAGATTAAATGGTGTCCTCATTTAGTCTCCTTTTGTTTTATGGGCCTGTCTAATCTTTGGCTGAAGGGTGAACCTCAGGAGTGACTTCAGTAGTGAGATAAAAGAGTCTCCAGGGGTTATACTCTCAGGGTTTCTTCAGTCTCTGTCAGATCAATAAGTCTGGTCTTTTGTTGTGAGTTAGAATTTTTTCTGGCTCTGTCCAGGACCCTCTATTTTGATCTTAGTCAGCAGTCAGTGGTGGTAGCTGGGTACCATCTAGTCGGATTGGACTCAGTCTGGTGGAGGCTATGGTAGTTGTTGTCCATTAATCCTTTGCATAAATAAGTGATTTTGAGCAAGTAAGTCACATAACTTCTCAGACCCTTAATTTATTCATCTATGAAATAGGAATAAAATATTTTTAAAGGTTATTGTGAATTCAGTCATAAAATAACGTGTATGAAAGCAAAAAGTGCCTGGCGGCTAAATGAAAGGTGGGGGGTTTGAACCTACTAGTCACTCCACAGGAGAAAGATGTGGCAGTCTGTTTACAGCCTTGGAAATCCTATGGGACAGCTCTACTCTGTCCTATAAGGTCACTATGAGTCGAAATCGACTAGATGGGCATGGTTTTTTTTTTTTTGTATGATGTTATTATCTTAAACTGTGAACATTGGAAAATGCAAGATGTAGTTTTCACAGAATTAAGTACTTTACATTGGTTCAGTTCAGTATATTAGAATTTCCTACTACGGTCAAAGCACATTTTTAATATGTTGGTTTTTAACTTGTTACATGAAGTATATGTAAATGTAGAAACTCCCTGGAATTGCTATAAGAAGACTTTTTGTTTTGGGTTGTTTGAAAAGAAATGAAATGATTAGATTGTATTAATTTTGATTGTTGTATTATTCTCATTACATAAGTTTTGATTAGAATTTAGTAAAAACTATAAGGAGAAAAGGAGCTATTGTCTACAGTATACTTGAAATGGACTTCAATCTATTGACACTATTGCTATCACAATTTTTTTTACCTTCTCCTGATTGCACAATCACTAAAGAGCTATAATTTTGCAAACATTTAAAAGTCACCTGCAGCAGCAAAGTTTCTTCTTTGTTCTACTACTGCCTTCTGGTAAAACAGGTTTATACAGCTAACAGAACAATGGCTTCTAAAATAGCTTTATCAGTGGAAGAATCGGCTAAGAAGAGCATAGCTAAGAAATATAAAACAATTTGTACTGTAAGTACAGTATTTAATTTAAGCCTTTCTAGTTTTGTGACAAAAGTTAACTGCATGACTCCCCATTTATATTTGTTTTGGTTGCTACTTAAATGTTACATTTTAAGCGATTGTATTCAGTTTTATCCCTTATGACAATTCTGCTGCAAGTTAATATTTTTACTTATTTTATGAATAAGAAATTTAAGTAACAACAAACTAATATTTGATCAATCTAACAAGTCAGAATCTAGGACAGAACACTTTACAGCTCTGATTTTGAATAATTTTAATAACCTGCAATGTCACCTCTTTATTGCATGAATATTTTAGGATCAGTAAATGAGAAATTAAAATCATTGTATTTTATATTCTTTTTTAAAATTGTACTTTAGGTGAAGGTTTACAGAACAAATATTTTCTCATTAAACAGTCAGTACACATATTGTTTTATGACATTGGTTAACAACCCCACAACATGTCAACATGCTCCCTTCTTGGCCTGAGAGGACCTCTTTTTTTTTTTTTTTTGGTGAAAATATTCATAGCCAACTGTCTTAGTCATCTAGTGCTGCTGTAACAGAAATACCACAAGTGGATGGCTTTCACAAAGAGAAATTTATTTTCTCACGGTCATGTAGGCTACAAGTCCAAATTCAGGGCGCCAGCTCCAGGGGAAGGCTCTCTCTCTCTGTGGGCTCTGGAGGAATGTCCTTGTCATCATCAGTCTTTCCCCGGACTAGGAGCTTCTCTGCGCAGGAACCTCAGGTCCAAAGGACATGCTCTGCTCCCGGTGCTTCTTTCTTGGTGGTATGAGCTCCACCAACTCTCTACTTGCTTCTCTTTCCTTTTATCTCTTGAAAGATAAAAGGTGGTGCAGGCTATAGCCCAGGGAAACTCCCTTTACATTGGATCAGGGATGTGACCTGGGTAAGTGTGGTATTACAATCCCACCCTAATACTCTTTAATGCAAAACTACAACAACAAAATGGAGGACAACCACACAATACTTTGAATCATGGACGAGCCAAATTGATACACACATTTTTTGGGGGACACAATTCGATGCATGACATTCCACCCTTTAGCCCCCAAAAATCACATCCTTGCAACAAGCAAAACATATTCATCTCATCATATCACAGCAAAAGTCTTCACTCCAAGTCCAAAATAAAAAATTCCTCTTCATCTGCTTCCAAAAGTACAATGGCAGAACAGGCACAAGCTAGACATTTCCATTAAAAATGGGAGACACTGGAGGAGAAGAAGGGATAACAGGCACCAAGCAAGTCAGCAGAACAAATAACATTACCCCTCAAGGCTTTGAAAATAATCCTCTGTTCTCTGAGACAGTTTACACAATAGCCTTGCCCATCAGACTCTAGGTATTGGCCACACTCTCCAGATTCTGAGTGGAGGCCCTGGGCTTCAGCTCCCCCTTCCAGGCCCACTGGGACGGCAACTCTGCTCCCTTGGCTTTAGGCACACCAATCTCCCGGTCCACCTGAGTGGCAACTCCACCCTTAGAAGCACTAGAGGCCATGGCTCTACTCTTTGAAACCCCAGAGATCATGGCCATACCTTTTGAGACTGAGGCAGCTTGGCTTCTTGTGTTCCTTGTCTCTTCAGCTTCTGCTTCTGTTTCCTGTGGCGTCTCAGCCCTCGGGCCTCAACATCCACATCTGCCCTGCTGAAGCAAGCGTTCTAAAGCTCTGTAGCTCCACTGGTAAGTGCCCGGAGGCACCCCACTCCACCAGGAAGCCTCCTGCGCACAGGCACTCAGCTCTCTTGCTCCATGGGTTGGCTCCAGTGCCGTCTCGCGCCAGTCTCCTGGTTCTCCTGTCATTGGTTCTCTGCTGCTGGTCCTCTGCCACTGCTGCTCCTCTATCCATTCACAATTTCAGAACTGCTTCCACATTTTAGGTATTTGTTAGAGCAGCACCACACTCCCAGTACCAAATTCTGTCTTAGTCATCTAGTGCTGTTCTAACAGAAATGCTACAAGTGGATGGCTTTCACAAAGAGAAATTTATTTTCTCACAGTCTAGTAGGCTCCAGGGGAAGGCTTTCTCTTTCTGTCAGCTGTGGAGGAAGGTCCTCATCATCATCAGTCTTCCCCTAGGCTAGGAGCTTCTCTGTGCAAGAACCTCAGGTCCAAAGGAAGCGCTCTGCTTTTGGTGCTTCTTTATTGGTGGTAGGAGGTCCCCCAACTCTCTACTTGCTTCCCTTTCCTTTTATCTCTTGAGAGATAAAAGGTGGTGCAGGCTATAGCCCAGGGAAACTCCCTTTACATTGGATCAGGGATGTGACTTGGATAAGCGTGGTGTTACAATCCCACCCTAAACGTCTTTAATGCAAAACTACAATCACAAAATGGAGGACAACCACACAATACTTTGAATCATGGCCCTGCCAAATTGATACACACATTTTGGGGGGACACAGTTCAATCCATGACACGAAAGATACACCATTTCAAAAATTGCTACATATACAATTCAGTGATGTCGATTACATTCATCCAGTTGTGCTGCTATTCTCACTTTAGATGAAGGTTTACAGAACAAAATAGTTTCTCTTTAAACAGTTAGTAAACATATTGCCATATGACAATGGTTAAGAACCCCACTACATATCAACACTGTCCTTACTCAAACTTGGATTCCCTATCACAAGCTTTTCTGTCCCCTTCTGCCTTCTAGTCCTTGTCCCCGGACTACTGTGCCTCATTAGTCCTGCTTTGTTTTATGGGGCTGTCCAATCCCCAGCTGAATGGTGAACCTCAGGAGTGACTTCACCACTGAGCTAAAACGGTGTCCGGGGGACGTACTCTCTGGGTTTCTCCAGTCTCTGTCAGGCCAGTAAATCTGGTCTTTTTCTGTGTGTTAGAATTTTGTTCTACATCCTTCTCCAGCTCTGTCCAGAAGCCTCTGTTGTGATCCCGGTCAGAGCAGTCAGTGGTGGTAGCTGGGCACCACCTGGCAGTACTGGACTCAGTCTGCTGAAGGCCTTGGTAGCCGTGGTCCATTAGTCCTTTGGACTAATCTTTCCCTTGTATCCTGTTCTCTTCATTCTCCCTTGCTCCTGAAGGGGTGAGACCAGTGGACTATCTTAGATGGCTGCTCACAGGCTTTTAAGACCCCAGAAGCTACTCACAAAGGTAGAATGTAGAACATTGTGTTTATAAACTGTGTTATGCCAATTGAGCTAGACGTTCCCCGAGACCGTGGTCCTCACAGCCCTCCGCCCAGCAATTCAGTCCCTGAGGGAGTTTGGATGTGTCTATGGAGCTTCCATGACCTTTCCTAGTACAAGTTGTGCTGGCTTCCCCAGTATTGTGTACTGTCTCACCCTTCACCGAAGTTACCACTTATCTACTGTCTATTTAGTATTTCCGCCCACCCTTCCTGTCCCTTGTAACCAACAACGATTGTTGTAAAAGTTGTGTGTAAACTTTTTCATGAGTTTTTACAGTAGAGGTCTCATACAATATTTCTCCTTTTGTGATTGACTTATTTCATTCAGCATAATGTCCTCCAGTTTCATCCATGTTATGAAATGCTTCACAGATTCATCATTGTTCTTTATTGTTGCATAATACTCCATTGTGTGTATGTACCATAGTGTATCCATTCATCTGTTGATGGGCATCTAGGTTGTTTCCATCTTTTTGCTATTGTGAACAACGCTGCCATGAACATGGGTGTGCGTATGTCTATTCGTGTGACGGCTGTTCTTTCTCTAGGATAAATTCCTAGGAGTGGGATTGCTGGATCGTATGGTATTTCTATTTCTAGCTTTCTAAGGAAGCACCATAACATTTTCCAAAATAATTGTATCATTATGCATTCCCACCAGCAGTGCATAAGAGTTCTGATCTCCCCACTGTCTCTGTTATTTCCAGTGTTTTTGATTTATGCCAGTAATGCCAGGGTGAGATGGCTTCTCATTGTGGTTTTAATTTGCATTTCTCTAATGGCTAGTGAACACGAGCATTTCCTCATGTGTCTGTTGGCTGCTTGAATGTCTTCTATGAAGTGTCTGTTCATTTCCTTTGCCCATTTTTTAATTGGATTATTTGTCTTTTTGTTGTAGAGGTGTTGGATTTTCTTGTAGATTATGGAAATTAGACCTTTGTCTGACTTGTAATGTCCAAAAATTTTTTCCCAGTCTGTAGGTTCTCTTTTTACTCTTTTGGTGAAGTCTTTTGAAGGGTATAGGTGTTTGATTTTTAGAAGATCCCGGTTATCTAGCTTATCTTCTGGAATTTGTGTGTTGATGGTTATGGCTTGTATCCTGTTAATGCTGTGTATTAGGGCCTGTAGAATTGGTCCTATTTTTTCTTCTATGAACTTTATAGTTTCTGGCTTTATATTTAGGTCTTTGATCCATTTTGAATTAGTTTTTGTGTATGGTGTGAGGTATGGATCCTGTTTCCTTTTTTTGCAGATGGATATCCAGTTTTGCCAGCACCATTTGTTAAAAAGACTGTTCTTTTCCCCATTCGATGGACTTCGGGCCCTTGTCGAAGATCAGGTGACCATAGGTGGATGGATTTACATCTGGGTTCTCAATTCTGTTCCACTGGTCAATGTGATCTTTCATTGTATCAGTACCAGACTGTTTTGACTACAATAGCTGTACAGTAGGTTCTGAGGTCAGGTAGTGTGAGTCCTCCTACTTTATTCTTCTTCTTCAGTAGTGCTTTACTTATTCGGGGCTTCTTCCCTTTCCATATGAAGTTACTGATTAGTTTTTCCATCTCTTTGAAGAATGTTGTTGGTATTTGGATCGAGATTGCCTTGCATTTGTAAATTGCTTTGGGTAGAATTGTCATTTTCACAACGTTGAGTCTACCTATCCATGAACATGGTATGTTTTTCCGTTTATGTAGATCCCTTTGGGTTTCTTGCAGAAATGTTTTGTAGTTTTCTTTGTATAGATCTTTTACAACCCTGGTTAAATTTATTCCTAAGTATTTTATTTTTTTAGGGGCTATTATAAATGGTATGGTTTTCCT